ACTTTCTTAGTCAATTGTATGAACGCTCATGTTCTGTTCGATTTAGGTGCTACCCGAGCTTTTGTATCTCTTGAACTTAGTAAGAAGTTTAGTGATGCTCCTGGGATTTTGGATTATCCATTGGAGGTAGAGATTGTTGATGATCGCTCAGTGAGTGCTTTGAGGGTTCATCGAGGGTGTGTTCTAAACTTACTCAGCAAGAGGGTTCATCGAGTGCTTTGAGGGTTCATCGAGGGTGTGTTCTAAACTTACTCAGCAAGAGATATTTGATTGATTTGGTTTCAATTTCGTTACGAGGGTCGAAGGTTATTATAGGGATGGATTGGTTGAGTCCCAATGGGTCCATGATTGATTATGAGCACCAGCTAGTGAAAGTTTGAACCCCAAGTGGGGGAGAACTGCTTATTCAGGGTGAGGGTGCTTAACACGAATCGACTCTCTGTTCAACAACAAGGGCTAGGAGATATATTCAGCAGGTTGTTATGGATTTTTGGCCTATGTGGCGGATACTCGAGGTGGGGGGATGGCGACTGTGAGTGATGGGCCCGTCGTTCAGGATTTTCCTAATGTATTTCCTGAGGATTTTCTAGGAGTGCCCCCCGAGAGACAGGTTGAGTTCCGGATTGATTTAGTTCCTGGTTCGTCCCCGATAGCTAAAGAACCATATCGATTAGCATTGCCGGAGATGCAGGAGTTGTCTACGCAGCTTCAAGAGCTGCTAGACAAGGGGTTTATCATACTGAGTAGTTCACCATGAGCAGCACCGATCCTATTCGTAAAAAATGATAGGTTTTGAGCATAACAAACAATCCTAAGTATGCATACAACCCTAATTTGCTTTGGATCTATGTTTTCTCTAATTGAACATACAAGTATTAAACATCAAAAGATAAAACCCAAAAGGCATATACTATTTTTGAAATTCATGAAATATGATAGTAAACATACCTTTAAGATTATTATTGTAAACAATCTTGAATTCCTCCTTGAAAACCTTTGGTTGCAAGCGTCACAAGTGTCGCGCCTCTAATGGCTCACAAACAAACCCTAGCAACCAAGGAAAACTATAGAGAGATAGAGAGAGGGAAGGAGCCAAAATTTCGTCAATGACACTTAGAAAGAAGTCATAGACGAAATTCTACCCTAAGGAGGGTTTATATAGGTGTTAGGAAGGTATTGGATAAGCCAGGTATCTCCAAGATAACCCTAATCCCTTAACTTCCTCCCTAAGGCATCCAAGGCACCCTTAGAGCCCAAGGAAACCCTAGAGACACTCTAGATTTCATTCCCTCCCTCTTTAGGGAGGTTCTAGAATTGCCCAATGCTCAACTATTAAACATTGTCACCTTTAGTCCTCCTACTTTTAATTAATCCAAGTGATCCCAAAATTAATCTAATTAATTTCTGATTAATTATTAATTAAGTATTACAATTTCTAGTTAATATAATATTCTCATAATATATTAATAAATAATTTATTGTGATTTCTAATTAATTTATTAACCAAGTAATAAATTAATAAATCATTATTCTCTCTTTAAAAGTTCTCTTATTCAATTGCCAAGTTTAAAGGCAACCCAAAAGTACTGTGTTACTATCAATTCAAGTTTATACCAATTATAGTTATGGGCTTAGACACCTAATCCAACAAAAAAGAAGGATGGTTCACACAAGATGTGAATTGACTACCGAGAGTTGAATAAGTTAACGGTCAAGAACTGTTACCCACTCCCAAGGATTGATGATCTATTTGACCAACTTCATGGCGTATCTTGGTTCTCCAAGATTGATTTGCGGTCAGTATACCATCAGATGAGGGTTAAAGACGAGGATGTGCAAAAGACGGCCTTTAGGACTCAGTATGGTCATTATGAGTTCATGGTGATGTCATTCGAGCTCACCAACGTGCCAATGATGTTCATGGATCTCATGAACCGGGTATGCAGACCGATGTTGGATCAGTCGATGATCATGTTTATTGATGATATTCTGGTCTACTCCAAGACTAAGGAGCAACACGAGGATATTTGCAGGAGGTATTGGAGACTCTGAGGAGCGATAGGCTGTATGCAAAATTCTATAAATGTGAGTTTTGGTTGCACGAGGTGCAATTCTTGGGGTACATCGTCAACCAGAAGGGTATATTAGTCGATCCGGCCAAGATTGAGGCCGTAAAGCGATGGGAAGTTTCGAGAACTCCATTGGATATTCAGAGCTTTCTAGGTCTCGCGGGTTATAATCAGAGATTTATTTAGGATTTATCGAAGATTGTTGTGTCCTTGACCCGCTTGACGAAGAAGAATGTTACTTTTCAATGGGGGCCCGATCAACATGCAACTTTTGAGACGTTGATACAGAAGTTATGTAAGGCCCCGATTCTCATACTTCCCGAGGAAATGGATGATTTAGTAGTTTATTATGATGCATCTATCTTGGGATTGGGGAGCTGTAGTCATGCATAGGGGTCACATGATTGCTTACACTTCAAGGCAGCTGAAGCCTCGTGAGGCGAATTACCCTATGCACGATCTACAGTTAGGGGTTGTGGTTTTTTCCCTCAAGATTTGGAGGCAGTATTTGTATGGGGTTAGGTGTACTATCTACACTAACCACAAGAGTCTGAGATACCCGATGGATCAACCAAATTTGAACATGAGGCAACATAGATGGTTAGATGTGGTGAAAGGCTATGATTGTGAGATCCTGTACCACCCTAGGAAGGCCAATGTTGTGGCCAATGCCTTGATCTGCAAGGCCATGAGTGTACCTATTAGAGATATATGCCTGAGGATGGTTATTGTTTCCCCCTTTTGGATATGATCAATAAGGCTCAATGAAAGGATTGAAAAAGGAGAATTGGAAGGCAGAACGAATTAGGGGACAAATTCCATTGTTTGTCATAGATAGTCGGGGCTTGTTGACCCAGTGTGGTAGGGTTTGGGTCCCGACTACTGGCGGGGTTAGATAGACAGTGCTAGAAGAGGCTCATAAGTCGAAGTTTTCGATCCACCCAGGGGCCACGAAGATATATAGGGATATGAAGTTGAGCTATTTGTGGAGCGGTGCTTGACTTGCTGGAAAGTCAAGCCCGAACATCAGAGACCCCATGGTAAGATGCAGTCGTTGCCCATTCCCATGTGGAAATGGGAAGAGATCACTATGAATTTCATCATGAAGTTGCCAAGAACGACACGTGGGGTGGATTCTATATGGGTCATTGTTGATAGACTGACCAAGAGTGCTTATTTTATACCGATCACTGAGAGTATATTTGCTAAGAATTTGGCTGACATTTATATCCGGGAGATGGTGGTTCGACACGGGGTGTCAGTTTTGGTGGTTTCGGATTGAGATGTTTGTTTCACCTCCAGGTTTTAAAATAAGTTTCACGAGGAGTTGGGTACTAAGTTGCATTTTAGTACAACATACCACCCCATACCAATGGATAGAGTGAGCGGACGATTCAGATGCTCAGGGCATTTGTGCTAGATTTTGGCAGGAGTTGGGATGCTTATCTTCCAACTGACGAGTTCTCATACAACAACAACTATCATGAAAGTATTGATCAACCACCTTTCAAGATGTTGCACAGAAGGAAGTGTAGGACCCTGGTTTGTTGGGGAGAGGTCGGACATCGAGTTATGGGGGGTATTGAGGTAGCACTCAAGACCACTGAGTTGATACAACAGGTACGTGATAGGTTGCGAATCATGCAAAGTCGAAAAAAGAGTTATGTTGACCGGTGACGATCAGACCTCGAGTTCTAGGTGGGGTATTTGGTATTTCTGATGGTGTCAACTTGGAAGAGTGTCATCTAGTTTTGGAAGCGGGGCAAACTAGGCCCCCGCTTTATTGGTCCCTTCAGGATTATCGCTCGGGTGGGCAAGGTTGCATACCAACTGGATTTGCCTAATGAGCTCAGTTTGATCCACACCACTTTCCATGTCTCTTAGTTATGGAAGTGTTTAGCCGATGATTCTGTGGTGATTTCTTTGGATGACATTCAGGTCGATGAGCGCCTGAACTATGTAGTTAGTCCGATTGTCATTCTCAACAGAAAGACAAAGACTCTGCACAACAAAGTGGTGAACCTGGTGAAGGGGCAATGGAAAATTTGCTACTTTGAATAATACATCGAATCTTGCTAGAGTGTTGGTGGAAACCAAAATGCATCATTCATTTCCTTTGATTTATCGGCTAGTGAAGTTGTCATTTCCATTGGTCTTGCCGATTGCAACCCAACCATAGATATATGTTTTTCAACCATGAAATTTGTAAAATCGGATTTGCTTCAAATTTCGGATGAAGTTTTAAATGATTGTGTAATTTGCAAGATTGAAAGAGAAGGATTTTCAAGGTTACGAATGAAAATATTATCAAATGTTTCTTAGTTATTTGTCATTGTAGATTTCAATTGTATAATGACATATAATTGAAGTTTTTAATGTCATTTTTTTTTTATCAATTTATAAATGATCAACCGTGCACTCTATTTAGGGGTGACAATTGATGACACGGCACGACAAAAATACACCGCACAAAACAAAATCGGTACGAAATTGAAATTCGAAATCGTGTTCGTGTTAAGTGTAAAAACACGATGTCGTGTTCGTGTTCAAAATCCGACACGAAATTAATAAGATTTAACATTTTTCCCTCGTGTTTTTCGTGTTATGTATGATTAAGTATTAATTAAATAAACAAATTGTTATTTTACATTATCTTTGTTGTGTCGTGTTTATCGTTTTTTAATCGATTCGTTTTCGTGTTAGTTAAAAAAACACGACATCGTGTCGTGTCTTGTTCGTGTTATATAAAATCTTATCTTGTCATGTCGTGTCAAACATTAACTCTAACTCTTTATAATAATTTAAGAAAAGTATTTTTTCAACTTTCCCGTTTTTATCATTTTTTGATTTTTTGTGACTACTCCTTTTCTTCACATAACCACAGAAGATAATTGATTTATTTGCCAAATGCCAAGGACTCGATGAGGGATAATATATACCGAGCCGGTTATCGAATAGGCGGCGACGTATAGAATTGGGGAAATTTGGAAATAAAAGAAAATTCAAGAGTGGGAAATACGAAAACGGAAAATCGAGAGAAATTATAGCATCGAGAGGAGAAATCTTAACGAATGAATGAATGAGCCATCGCTGCCCACCTTCCCTCCTTTCTCTCGCCATTGATGCTGCTCTTTTCAATCTCCACAACATCTCCGATCTCTCTTTCCTTCCTGAACACATTCTCATCGACCTCTTCCTGGTACAAATCATTTTCACCCAAATTCTCTCCGCAATTATAGTTTTCATTATTTGTACAATCTGTTTGTTGATTTATAGTTTTCCTAATCATCGCCTTGATTTTATTGATCGCTTTTGGTTTTTTTTTCTTAGTTTGATTCCCTATTGTCATTCTATTTGTATTAGTTTGTGTTCTTTTTTATGATCAAAGTATTAGTTTCAAGGCACAATTAATTAGAAAAAGATGGTGGTTTACGAATCGAGAATTGAGATGAATTTATCGTTGACCTAATATGTGAAAACTCAGATTGTGTAATAGCGTCGGTTTACATGTTTATTATTTTGTTAATTGTGTTTATACATATCAATTCTAGGGGGTTCAAACTGATAGACATGGTGAGAATTACAAATAAGAACTTCACTACACTTCTAATGATAATTGGAACTTGAAAAGGATTAGTAAATAGAGAAATTGATTTTAAAATGATGATCTGATCTCAATTCTCACTACATTTCACTCTCTTTTATAGATAATTCTTGTTTTTCCCCATTATTTTCTACAATCTGGCTGTAGATTTATCTCTTTTTGAATCATGACCTGATATAGCTTATGAGTTATGTCCAAGTTGATTGATTGCTTCTGATCTTTCTTTTATTAAAATTTGATTTTTCTTGTTACTCTCTTCATATTTGTTTTCCCTTAGGCTGTTGTGTGAATGTGTGTTCATTTCTTATGTATCAAACTGGTAGTTTTAGGGTGAAATTGATTAGAGTAAAGATGGTGTTGTGCGAATCAAGATTTAAGATGAACTGATCCTTGAACTAATTGTATGAAAACTACTCCTTGAGGTTCTTTTATCCAGAGGGTATATAGGAAGGCCCTTTTTTAGTGTTGGATGCATGGTGCTTAAAAAAGCATTTGAGAAAAATAAAGGTACATATTTGGAAATAGAAGGAAGCAAATATGTGACTTAATGGGGAAAGCCTTAATTTCCTTATCTGTTAAGTGTTAAGTTGTCTTTTCTGCAGTAGAAAATGACTTAATGGAATAAGCCAAAAAACCTGGCTTAATGTATTAAGACACCAACTTTCTACCTATTTACCCTTCTCCTTTTTTCTCCCATCTTCTCTCATGTTAAAATTGATGAATATTAAGTTGTGAAAATCATCTGTAAGAATGTAACGGTTAATTGGTCATTGAGTCTCATTCAGACAATCATACGGGTTATTCACTTTAATAGTGTCTTGTGCTCAAACTTCATGTAATCCTCAAGATTGATTGGAAGATTATTGGCTGAATATTTTGAGATCTTTTTCTTTCACTTGATGAATTAATTGGAAAATGAATCAAATGACTTAATATGGTAAGATACATATGAATATCACATTGTTTTTGATTTGACACAACTTAAGTAACATTGTTGAACCAATTGTAAACTACCTAAAACACCCTTCAATAAAGACAAAATACAAGACTCTTATGGAGTATAGACCATAAGCAACATTGCAAATATTGCATTTTTTTTAATAAAGATCACTCTTTCTCTCTTGGTAATTTTAGATTATTTTGTTGCTATTAAAATTTGTTATTTTTCAGAGAACCCTAAAGGCCGGGAAACTAAACCCTAGGATTTTGAAGGTTTTTGTTGCAACTGGAAACGAAGAAATCCTTTCAATGATTCGAGCACTTAATATACAACTTGTTCTCACCCCTATCCTCCCTACTAGTAAGTTATATCTGTATATACTGTGTTTGACATATACTGTAATGGGAAACAACACTGTATACTATGTTTGACATATGTTATATTAGGATCAGAACACAACCTACACAACAACACTATATAACACTATATACTGACATATACTATATTGGAATCACAACACAACCTACCCAACAACACGTATACTGTGTTTGACATATACTGTATTGGGATCAGAACACCTTCTACGCAACAACTTTAGAACACCTTCTACGCAACAACTTTAGAACACAACCTACGCAACAACTTTAGAACACTGTGTTTGACATATATATATTGGGAGCACAAAACAATCACACAACAACAAAAAGCAATTAATTAATTTGTAATTATTTGTATCTATTTTTTGTTTATAATATTATGTGCTTTTAACCTTCTAATTTTGTTTTGACAGGATGTTCGGACAAGTTCTAATTAAAACAATTAATTAATTTTTAATTAAATTTATCAAAAACATGTCTCAAGTAACCATAGACACCAACGAAATCGACATCGTAATCGCTGCATTCCATTCCGATCTCACCTCCTTCCTCGAATCATGGCGTCCAATCTTTTCCCGATTCCATTTGATCATCATCCAAGATCCCGACCTCAAACAAGACCTAAAAATCCCAAAAGGATTCGACATCAACATCTACACCAAATCCGACATCGACAAACTAATCACCCCTTCCAATTCCGCCATTTTCTCCGGCTACTCCTCCCGCTACTTCGGCTACCTAATCTCAAAACGAAAATACATCGTCTCAATCGACGACGACTGCGTTCCCGCCAAAGACAACAACGGCGAGTTAGTCGACATCGTGACACAACACATCGTGAATCTCAAAACCCCCGCGACTCCTTTCTTCTTCAACACGCTTTACGATCCGTACAGAAACGGGTCGGATTTCGTCCGAGGGTATCCGTTTAGCTTACGGAGCGGCGTCCCTTGCGTACTGTCGTGTGGTCTCTGGCTTAACCTCGCCGACTACGACGCGCCGACGCAAGCCCTAAAGCTGGAGTCGAGAAATCTCCGGTATGTGGATGCAGTTATGACAGTGCCGAGGAAGGCGATGATGCCGATGAGCGGGATTAACATTGCGTTTGATCGGGAGATTCTCGGGCCGGCGTTGTTGCCGGGGTTGAAGCTTGCGAAGGAAGGGAAGTTCCGGTGGGAGACGATGGAGGATGTGTGGTGTGGGTTGGTGGTGAAGGCGGTGTGTGACCATCTCCGATTGGGGGTGAAGAGTGGGGTGCCGTATGTGTGGCGGAATGAGAGAGGAAGTGCGATTGATAGTTTGAAGAAGGAGTGGGAAGGGGTTAAGTTGATGGAGGAGTTGGTGCCGTTTTTTCAGACGGTGGAGTTCTCGGAGGGGTGTGTGACGGCGGAAGGGTGTGTGATGGAGATGGCGGCGGCGATTGAGAAAGAGTTGGGTGGGAAGCATCCGGAGGTGGCGAATGCGGCAGAGAAGATGGTGGAGTGGGTGAAGTTGTGGAAGGAGGTGGAATCGAGGGTTTTGGGTTGAGAGGTATTTTGTTTTGGTAACATTTTAATGAAAGGGAAATGGATAGAGGATGATTTGAAAATAAATAATGTCCTTAATTTGTTTTTTGTTATTGTTATGATTTGTATTTGATGTTTGAATTAGTATATTTGTTGGTTATTCAAGTGTAAAGGCATGTTTGTTTTTTTTTTTTTGTTTTTTTTTTTAATTAAGTTAAAGAAAAGCTATTTTAGTTGTTTAAATTAAGTATTTCTTATATTAAGCAATTAAGTAAAAAAAAAAAACAATTTTTGGGTTGGTCTGAAATGGTATGTGATGTGTTTTGATCAAAATATTTAAAAGAGAAACATGAAACAAAGAAAATATTAGTACACATTTCATTCCATATAGTTTAGATCAAAATATTTAGAAGAGAAAAGGAAACAAAGAAAATATGAGTCGATATTTCATTCCGTATAATTATATGCAAGAAATATATCGATTATTATGGTTCGGTTTTACTATTTAATTCGGTTGGTTCGTCTTTTTAAAAGAAATACCTTTTCTTTGTCTACATTTCATTGCGTACAATGATATCATCGTTTTTACCTCGACTTTTAATTGTCTTAAGATTGGTTTGTGAATTTTTTTAATCATCTTATTTGATTTCATTATAAGTCACGATGGGATTTGGAATTTAGATTTCAATAATTATATTAAAAAATTGTTTGTGTACATAAAACAATACTCTTAAAAAAGCCACATCTCATCAAAAAAATATTACAAAAAATTATATCATTATCATTATTATATATAAAAACCCTAATTTTCTCATGGCTCCTACGCCAAATTTACACGACTTGTTGGACGCCACATCACTTAATTTCTAAACGACGCCGTCAACGTCTTTTCAAACCGCCTCATGAGACCAATGATTCAGCACGTACACCTACCTTCTACAAATGAACATGTAGTATGCACAAAAACAGAAGAGACGCACCTTTTTTTGAGGCATTGGTTAGATTCAAATTTGGTCTTGATATAGATTGCCAAAAATACAACAATTATGTTTCAGTATCTTTCCATGCCATCGCTTCCCATTCTCGATCACAACGAATCCAAAACACAGACAACTATCAGACCATTTTGTTGTTTGCGATGAGGTAATCTGATTTATTCACAAATTTCCGTTTTCAATTTCGTATTTTGATGTACGACTTGTGGGTTTTACCCTTCTGATGACTTACGGTTAGATTTGAAGCCCGATTTTGTCCATGATTTTGACTTCTATTTTTTTTTTCTGGTTGAAAATTTTTTTTTTCTGGTTTTGTAAATCAAAGAGTTGGTTGTTGTGGCAACATCTCAAGAAACTCAAAGTTTGTCAAATATACATTCTTTTGCATACTCAATGATTTCTTCTTTGGATTGGGGTTGAACCCATTCGATGGTGTTGCTGAAAAGGCAGGTCTCATGCGGTAATAACTTACGTTCTGTAATAGTGGTAAAGATGGACACATCAAATTACTTATCAATGGGTCCAACGATAATTCTCGCCCCTCTCTTTTCCCTACATTAGGGTGTCAATGTGAGTTTTTTTTCATCGATTAGTGTGACATCCCCATTTTCACGGCCAGAAAAGACCGATTTTGTTTATGCTTGTTTGAAAATCAGAGTAATATTTTAAATAAAAGTGTTGCGGAATTTGTCCCAAAACAAAATATGATAAAGATTTATCAAAAGCATTTCCCAAGAAATGTATTTCACTAAAAGACTCGGGATGTCATGTTCGATACAGATCAAAAGCATAAACAGTACAACATAAGCCTTACTACATTATTTCGTATCTACAGGCCTATATCGGTAATCCCTCATCCAAAACATCACATCTATGCTCGACTGCCACTACCTGTAATACATGAAACTGAGTGGGTCAGGCTTGGGAGCTTGGTGAGCACATAGGGTTTTCAACCCACAATAAATAAGTTATTTAATTTCATCAACCAACAATAACCCGATTACCCGTTCCCGTTATCCTCACTTTACGTCCCTAAAACACCTATCATAAGGGACCTAGCCTAAGGATCATTATCGGGATGGACACTACTGCTAAGGGGGTTCCTCAACAATAAATGTCCTAAAGGCAACCATGAGGGGGATGGAGTACACCAGTGAACACATCGTTCACAAACACCTACAGGTTGCGAGCTTGCTAGCGTTCCACTGGACTGTCTAGAAGAGTCCGTGGTCGTCATCTATACTCCGCTAGATGACTGGATCACCAACAACATCGAGACCTCTCATCATTTTATCACACATCGTCTTATTACATCTACCCATGTTTTACCCCAACATTTTTGTAGATATAAAATACATATACAGTTTAAATCATTTAAAACATGTATAAAAAATCTTTCATCAGCATAGACAACAAGTATTCAGATAATATGCACACATAACACGTAGTTTATAATAAATACTTCATATCTATGTATAAGATGAAAGAGACTATGCACTCACCTGTTAAGGTGGTGACTCGGAACTCGGACAACGCTTCGTTATCTCAAAATAAGTTTTCCCTTGACAAAACCTAGTATCAATATCACTAGGGTTTAGTCTAACGTTAACCGCGACTAATTAATAGTCTATCTATCTATTATTATTATTATATAAGCGTTAAACAACACTCTATACAACTCATAATAATAGCCAAAATAATTATTTTAAGGACCTAATAACATTACTATAATTATTTAAAAGCTATATTAAAAATTTCATAGGCGTAGCTCACTTACAGCGGATTTTAAAGAAAAACCGGGCTTCGCTTGGAGCAGCGTTTCCGAACCGAAAGACCCTTTTTCTCGGGACTCCGGGAGCCTCGGGGCTTCCTTCGGGTGCTAGGGAGGTTCCTTAGGGTTTAGGGGGGGGGGGTTAAAACCCTTAGAGAGAGAAAGTAGTTTAGAGAGAGAAGGAGAATGGTGTGAAAAATCCGAGAAATCTCGCAGCTATTTATAGGCTGCTGGCTTCGGACGAACGCTGGGCGTTCAGCAGCTACGCGGCGCGTAGCTTCGGATAGGGCTGCCAGGTGGATCCAGCTGTCTCGCACTTCGGCCTAGGATGGATAAGAACCGAGGTACGCTGGGCGTACCCGGCCACGGACGCGGGGCGTAGAGCGAATGCGACATGTCTTCATCTGGTGTGAGGCCGTGGGGAGCAAGGGAAGGCTAGGATCGTGCCACGTCATCACAGTTTCGCAAATTGCACACTTAACTTCTAAAAATCATAACTTTTGCATACGAGCTCCGTTTTCGACGTTCTTTATATCCACGCGTAGGTGGGAATGTACTCTACAACTTTCGTTTAGACTCTGTCGGCTAATTTTGAATTTATTTTAAAAGTTAAATTATTAACAGGCCGGGACAGGATTGGTCCGTTAAAATCTCATAACTTCTTCATCCGACGTCCGTTTTTGTCTGTCTTTTTATCGTTATGCTACTATTAACGAGATCTTCGATTCTCGTTTAGGTTGTGTCGGCTAAAACCGCTCGATCTAATATTCGAACTTCGGGCTGTACACTACTAAATCGAAACTTCGAAAAATCATAACTTCCTCATACGAAGTCAGATTTGGGCGTTCTTTTTATGGACGCTCTCGGTTTAACGTATTCTACGACTTTTGTTTAGATCGCTAAGGCTAAAACTCGCTCTATCGTAAATTCACTATTTACACTTCCCGGTATCGTGCCGGTTCCGTCGCGAAACTTCGACGGGTCATAACTGATGGTTTTTAAGCATAAGAACAATCCTATGTGCTCATACAAACCCTAATGCTTGGATCTAAGTTTCTCTATTGTACATACAATGAATCCAAGACTTACAAACCCTAGATCTATCAAATAAGAACTGAAATAAGGGTTTAGTAATTACCTTTGATTGTTATATAGCAATAACAATCAATCCTTGCTTTGATTGGCTTCAGAAAGCTTAGTGCCTCAAGTGTTGCACCTCTAATGGAGTCACAAACACCACTAAGCAACTTGGATGAAGAGGGAGGAGAGAGGAGGCACCAAAAACGGCTGGAAACCCTAAAGGATTACTTGTCCACGTTTTTGGGGCTTAAGGGTCCTTTATATACATGTAGGCTATTAGGGTTTACAACTAGGAAACCCTAATCTGACTGCTTAAGCCCTAAGCAGCCCATGGACTCCTTTAACATATCCCTTGGACGATTTCTAATGGGCTTCCCATAGAATTCGTCCAACCTATCTATTATTAGGTGATCCATAGCCCAATTGTAATTATCTTATAATTACAAATCCAGTCCCCTAAGTTTAATTAATCTCTTTTAGCCACAAAATTAATTCTTAATTAATTCTTGACTAATATTAATTAAACATATGATTTCTCCTTTAATATATTATTCTTATAATATATTAATAAATCATAATTAAACCTTTCTCTCCTTAATTCATCCTACATATTGCTATGGTGAAGGCAACCCAAAAGGACCATGCTCATAATCGGGTCAAGTACATACCAAAATAGTTATGGACTTAGACACTAATCCAACAGTCTCCCACTTGGATAAGTCTAATAACTATTCTGCGTATGACTTCAGAACCTGATCAGCAATCGTAGCTTCCAAAAGCCGCTGTCAACTCTGATCTTATCAGATACGCGTGTCCTTTAGATAAGGGATTATATATTCCTCCATTCTACAAGATATCGTATAGACATGAGACATGGATTGAAATCATTCTCTCAGTCTATGTGTCGTTTCCCGATTTCCGATTTATGACGACTGACTAATTGAACAAATCAAATCAGTCCTGGCCCGGCCGAGCACTTTCCTTTGTCATCACTAAATCATCGAGGGGCCCACAGATATCGCTTTTATCCCACCTTGGGTAAAAGGAATGGATAAACTTTGACTCAAATGCTTGCTTGCACCTACTAATCGAATCACACACAACAATAAGTTTTATAACACCAAGTTACTGGTGCGTTTACTTATCATCAATGTGCAACCGACCAGCAAATAACAA